CATGGGCCGTCCCCTGGTGAAGGTCAAAAAATGGTAATGCTTGCAAAAAGTAGTTTTTATACATATAAGATTATGTGAAAAGTTTTAATTTTCTAACGAATTTAGTTAAAAAGATATGAAGCCGTTTCCAGACTTTTTTGTCACGCTGTATAATTTTAAAGATATGCTTTAATTGGATTATTTCCTAGAACTTCTCTCTAAAAAAATATAGTATTTTCCGCCACGCAATTGGTAACAACTGTAATACGAAGTCTTGCAATTAAGATCACTACGACTGATTTCACGAAATAAATATGATATCAATGTCTATTCTATAAACATACCAATTCTATGTAAATGTGGTAAACTGTTGAGTTTTCTCATAACGGTACACACCTGTAAAAGAAAAACATGCTATTAATAAAAAAAATAGGCAAATATTATAAGGCAATGTTAGACACTTATGATCCCTTGAATTAATACAATAAAATAGATAACATAGTAAAAAAATTCAATTTACAGAACGTTATTTTACACCTTCTATCCACTAAATCAATGTTTATCAACGATATCAAGATCCTACGTAGAAAATTCAGTGAGCTGGGCTGTCGTGGAGGGAGCGTCCAAGATGTACCCTTGTTTTCTGACTCGGAGTTATTTTCCCACGCTATACGGAAGCAGTCAAACTCATTAGTTTTACTCTTGTATTTGAAAGTTGAAATGTCTTGCTTTCATCAAACGTATGGATATCGACGAATTGATATCGAAAAAGCATCGCAATCTTTGAATACATACCATATATTTAATAGGGTATATATTCAATGTCTCAATCCACTAATATGGGAAAAGCACAAGGACATTCCAATAGGAACATCATCAATGTCTGTTGAAAAAATCCGTAGAAATGCAAATTCCAACAGCACATGTCCAAGGGTACATTGTATAGTTATTTTAAGATTACTTTTAATGCAGGAGGTAGTGTACATGAATCACAAACACAGTCCACTCCCGATATCCGTGGTGTTCGGGTCCGAGGCTACCTCGGATACTTCAAACCCCAGATAATACGGAGTTTATCTGTATTTTTATGTTATTCTGTTACTAAACCGTTGTAAAATTTGTATGGTTTTATTCGAACAATAGAACAATTTAAAATATTATCTTTTCAACCACAGTTTCATTAATCTTTGATGAAAATACATAATTTCTCAATAATATTGCGTTAAATGGAAAATAATATCCGTATTTAAAAAAGAATAAAAGTCAGTGTGGGAAATTCCCTCAGCTATTTTATTGTAATCTTCTTTCGATGAAATCGACATCTAAAGTGGTTGTAATTCTTCCTGTATGCAATAACTGTCTCTTTCACAATATTAGCCACTGTATATTTTCCCAGACTAAAACTTAAGTCCAACCCTCGTAATGACATACACGCTTACAAAAACCTGAAAACAATTTCCTACGCCATTGTAATAAAGGCACAACATTACAAATCTCCTACTGATTTCAGGACCCGTACATGGAAAGAAGTGGAAATACTTAAGGGATCAATTCAGCGTTGAATGTAGCAAAATAAGCCTACCATGATCTGAGGATGGAGACAACACTAATGAACCCAAATGACCATACTACAAAAGATGTGTATTAAACGATATTGTGCAACCAAGAGTAAAAACATTGTAAAAAAGAGAGTAAAAGATTGTACAGTGTTAACGTTTTAGATTTCCTTTATTAATTAATGTACCTAGGTATCTCAAGTGTAACATTCGCACGACAGATATAATAGGCCTTTAAAGAATCAAATATTATAATCTATCAAGGACAAGCGTTCAATGTTACAAGCCCAGTATACAAAATGCTATCAATTCGAATAAAATAAACAAATGACCGACTACGAAGATAGATGTTTCTTAACCTGTAAAATATCCAAATTAAATGTACAGTATCTTTTTGCATCCAAATAAACCACTATTTAAATGAGATACTCCCTTTTATTAATACATTTCTCATCCTTATAGATCAAGATAATTTTATTGTTAGTTCTGTCCGATGCACTGTCTGTAGAGGTCGTGTTTTGTTTACAATTTGTTTTTTTGTTTTCGGTCATTTGAAACCTCGTTTAACCAAATAAAATGTTTTAATAATAACTAATAACACGTCTTCTAGTTATACAGGGTGGAACGAAGTTAGTGTTAAAAAATTTTATCGGTTAAACTACTAAGTATTGGTGACAAAATGGCAGCAATTTAAGTTTCCATACCCTCACAGGTTATGGAAACTTAAATTAGGGAAGATTTTTTCAAAATATTTGTATCTGCTTACATAAAATGGCCATAAGTGCACTAAACAATGTTTTTATTCCAAATTCATTGTCATTTTTAGAATCCTCGTTAAATTTGCAAAATTAATAGTACAAATTCATTGGGATAAAACATCTGTATAAGCCCTTATTTGGCAATGGAAGTTTGAATTTGTGATTTTTTAGAAAAAAGTAATAACTTTTCCCAAAGTTTTTCTATACTACACTGGACTCTAGAGAGTGTCAATTATTACTAAAAACTTCTGTAGTTAATAACCTTTAAAATTATGTATAAACATCTACTGTTCGTTTGATTTGTCGTTCTCAAATTTAAGAGTTTTTCTTGAAAAACACGGAACGGCTATTGTTTAATTTCCTGTAAAAAAAAACATGTATTGGCTTCAATGATATGGCAGCAGCTGCTTTAAAAATCATGTTTATATGGGTATTATTGCAATTTTCAGAATTCTTGTAAAATTCCTAATATATTGAGGTATTGTTAGGATTAACGCCTTATGAACCTATGTTTTGTGATGTGTCTTCATTTAGGGGGTTTTTTTTTTTATTGGCATAACTTAAATATCGTTTACGGTGTTAGTTCTATGGTACATTCAACCGATGTGCGAGATTGACTTAATGCAAATACACAACTTGAACAATGATAAAAATGATAAAGATGGGTCATATGGTGTGATTTGCTGGCATGCCAGGTCTCAAGACTTTAAGTCCACTGGACTTGTTTTGTGTGGCTATGTGGAGTACTTCGTCTCCTCATCTTTAGTGGAAGATAATAAGGAAATTTAAAACTGGATAATGAATGCAGATGTGCTAGTCAGAGGAACGTTGTATTTTAATGTTACTGTTGGTGCCACTTGCAAAAAAACTTGGCTGTATATCAGGGAAAATAAAGGAGATTTTGAAAAAAAAAATTAAAACTCAAGTAGAACATCAAATAGAAGGCAACTATTAAAACGTTAAGGAAGTATAATTTAAGTTTCGAATATTGTATGTTTTAGAATTAACTTTTATTTTTTGTGTAAATAAGTTAAACTACGTGTTTCTGGGGTTTAACAATAATTTTAGTAAAGAAATAAATCACTTGGCTGATTTTCATTAGCATGTGTCTAAGCACTACAATCTAATTGCTATACTTAGATTAATTTTAGGTTTTCGGTGAACATATTGACAACATTGTAAAGTGTAGTTTCTACATAATTTTAGAGGTTACTCCATTTATTTGCTTATTTAGAAAATAATCTTAAGTTAAATTTACCATGTGTAACTTTAAACAATATTCAATGTATTCAATAAATTAAAATAAATAAAAGTTTAACATGTTTTCACAAAACATACGTTTATATGAATGTTAATCCTAATAGATCTTTAATATTCTTATAATAAATCTCACAAGGATTCTAAAAATTACAATAAACCCAATTCAAATATAATTGTTATTGCATATTATTTAAACAAATACATGTTATTTTAAAGGGATGCGATTTTGGCCATTCCGTGTTTTTTAAGAGAAACTCTTAAATTTGAGAACGACAAATCAAACGAACAGTATATGTTTATACATCATTTTAAAGGTTATTAACTACAGAGGTTTTTAGTAATATTTGACAATCTCTAGAGTCCAGTGTAGTATAGAAAAACTTTGGGAAAAGTTATTACTTTTTTCTAAAAAATCACAAATTCAAACTTCTATTGCCAAATAAAGGCTTATGCAGATGTTTCATCTCAATGAATTTGTACTATTAATATTGGAAATTTAACAAGGATTCTAAAAATGACAATGAATTTGTAATAAAAACAACGTTTAGTGCACTTATGGCCGTTTTATGTAAGCAAATACAAATATTTTGAAAAAATCTTAAATTGTCCGTTATTCCCTACCTGTGAGGGTATGAAAACTTAAATTGGTGCCATTTTGTCACCAATACTTACTAGTTAAACACATAAAAATTTTTAACACTAACTTCGTTCCACCCTGTATAACCAAACAGTAGAGAACAAATCATGAAATCAACTATAAAATAATAGAAACACAATTTCGACGACACTAGCGATCAGTGTCACCGGACGTAAACTAAAAAACGAGCTTCAACATTTACAATGGGATGTAAAGTTTACTTGTGTTGGTTTGTCTATTGTAAGACTATAATACATTTTCCACCCTAATAATAATCATAAGAATAATATTAAACATACTTCTGAATATACAGACTGTCCCAAAAGTCCCGGACCGGTTTAATATCTGTGTATGGGAGGTAAAGGGCACTATGTCACATTTTTATCAAAATCCGGTTGTCAGCACCATCTTGTTCTATTTGTTTTGTTCTATTCAGTGGTAAAGGGCACTATTTCTTATATCCTTCCATATGGGAAATAGGAAAAGGTAAACAGCACTATGTCCCTAAGCAACTTAGAGGTAAAAAGAACTATATTAACATAGTGCTGTATTCCTCCAAACTAAAAATCTAAAAGTAAGAGGGAAAAGGCACCATGTTGACTTGGTGCTGTTTTCCTCTATGCACAGTATGGAACACCAAGGAAGAAGAGTAAGTTTTTGGTGACATAGTGCTTGAAACAACTAACCTTAAATCAGCTGTATTTTCACTTATTCATTGATTGTTGTTGTTGTTACATAATTTAAATCAAGAAGTTTATTTTTAATGAAAGTAAAATGAACCCCAACTGTAGAGGATGGAAAATGCTAAAAATGGGCCAAGAAGAAGCAACCACTAGCACCTGTAAAGGTAAGTTAAAACTTTTTTCTGTAAGAATACCCTTGATACTTTTGATAAACTCTAAGTTAGGTTATAGTAGGAAACAAGGTTAAGATGTTTTATTAGTAATTGTTATAGGCTATAACTAGTTCTAATAAATAGTGGTTTTAACAGTGTTTCGTAGGCTATGTAAGTGTTTTTACTACCTGTCTTACTATGCTTGCTTGTAACAAAGTGTTTCTATCTAACTATTAATCCTGCCATTGTTGTTTGTATACTTACCTGAAAATAGCAATGACCTATACAACAATTGGTTTACAGCAGCTTTTAGTTTGTATTGTATCTGAAGCCTAACTACAGCCACAACTATTAGCCTACATTTTTGTATAATGTGTGATGTTCTATTAGTAGTAGTTAGAGGCTATAACTAGTCCTAATAATACATCATAAATAGTATTTAGTTTTTCCTATGTAAGTGTTTTTACTAGCTGTTTTTTCTATGCTTGCTTGTAACTCATATGTAACTCTAGCCTATCTGGCGGTAGTGCGCTATGCGGAGAATTTTTCATAGTACAAATAGGCCAGGAATGAGTTTAATAACCACCTAACTATAACTGGTAAAGAGCTGTAAATCCTTCCATTTTTATCGTATACCTGTAAAATAGCAATGACCATTGCAGCTGCTTTTTAAGTTTGTATTATATTGTAGCCTAACTACAGTCACAAAACTATTATCCTACAGTTTTGTTTATTTTTAAAACACTGAGATATTTAATTTTACGGGTCAGGCTATTTCACAGCCTAATGATTTAGATTGTATACTCGTCTATAAAATTATTTTTTGTTTCAGATGGCCCAGCAGAACATTCGGATTCAAGTTTAAGTTCACTAGGATTTTATGACTCAGACGCAGATAAAGAGTACCAGCCTGATGAAGACTCAAGTACAGATTCGGAGGAATCACCTACTAGTAAGCATGGTCAGCAGCCTTCAAAATACAAGTGTGATATATTTTAAAGTTATATACACTAGCAGAAAGTAGTGCTATTTAGTTTGTGTGTGTGGCTGCACTGCCAACGCAATGACGTCACAGCTGATGTCTCTGAACCGGCCTCAGTTCTACGTTATCTACAGGTTAGTCGCAGTCACTTTTACTTTGTGCGGTTCTTTAACTTGTAGTTCATAGAACATAATATTGGCGCAGTCGGTAGTCGGTGAAAATGTCGAGTGTGGGACGAATGGGAGAATTTAATCCCAGTGAAGAAGATATTTCGTCATATTTGTTGCGTTTGAAACATTATTTTATTGCGAATGATGTCAAGGCCACGAGCAAGGTTTCTGTTCTAATCACCGTGTTAGGTCCTAAAGTGCTCGCAGTGTTACGGGATGTAGTTTCCCCTGAAAAAGTGGACGAATTAGATTTTGATAAACTCGTTAAAGTTCTGGAACAACATTTTTCACCCAAACGTTTAATAGTGGTAGAGCGTTATTTGTTCAATTCCCGCTCGCAGAGGTCTGGTGAAAGCATCTCAGATTTTGTGGTTGCGATAAAACATCTTTCGGCTTCTTGTCAATTTGGAACATTCCTAAAGGACGCTTTAAGAGATAGGCTAATCTCGGGAATTTCCAATGAACAAATTCGGCAAAAGTTATTGTCGGAGGAAAAAGATTTTGATAAAACTTTAGCGTTGGCGCTCACGTTTGAACAGGCAGACAAGCACACAAACATGTTTCTCAGCAAACAGGAAACTTTTCAGGATGTGAACAAGTTTCATGTTAGGAAAACCACGTGGCCTAGGGGTGGCAAAATGAAAGAAAGTGAAGGTGCTACGAAATTTTTTAAGTGTTACAGGTGCTTGAAGACCGACCATAAGGCTAACAATTGCCCATATGTTAAATATAAATGTCATATATGTTCAAAAGTGGGTCATCTAGGAAAGGCATGCAAGGCCAAGGATAGAGGTAGTAAAGCTACTGGAGGTAAATATAAAGTGCATCAGATGTCTGAAAGCCCTAGTGAGGAATGTGAAGAGCTAAATTTGTACAATATTGGGCTAGGCCTAACTGACCCTAACTCTTGTTACAAGGTAAGAGTAGCCATAGAAAATGTAGACTTAGACATGGAGATTGATACAGGATCTGCTATCACAGTATGTCCATGTGAAGTGTATGAAAAACATTTTTCTCAATTACAATTGACTCGTAGTAATGTAAAATTACGTGCCTATTCTGGTGATGAGGTTAAAGTAGTAGGCCAAGTAGATGTTAACGTGGTTTATGAACAGACAAGCTACATGTTGCCTATGACAGTAGTGGATGTAGATAAAGCCAATGCACCGTTGCTGTTAGGTAGAAATTGGTTGCAAAAAATAGTTTTGAACTGGAACTCTATTTTTTCAAGTAAGCCTAATGCAGTCCAGACTCATAAGCTCTGTACACAGTCTAGGCCTAGTTCTCAAGGCCATGATGTTTTGGCAGAACCTAGCCTAACCAAGGTCCAAGTGCCTAAAGATGTTGATCTTTTGAAAAATAAATATTTGTCAGTATTTAAAGGTAAAATAGGTGAAATTAAAAATGTGAAAGCTCACATAGTATTGAGAGAGGGGTCGACTCCGAAATTTTGTAAATTTAGGCCAGTGCCTTTTTCGTTACGCCATAAGGTTGAAGAAGAGTTACAGAAGATGGTGGATGACGGTGTAGCCTATCCTGTGACTAGTTCGGAGTGGGGCACACCATTGGTAGTCATACCTAAACAGCAGGGAGTTAGGTTATGTGGTGATTTCAAGGTTACCTTGAATCAGGTAATTCAACATGAGCATTACCCCTTGCCTCAACCTGATGATATATTTGCGGCACTGTCGGGATGTCAGTTCTTTTCAGTGTTGGACTTGCAGTCTGCGTACCTACAGATGCCTGTTGCGGAATCGTCTCAAGAGTTATTGACGCTAACAACTCACAAAGGGTTGTTTCGACTCCGGCGTTTGCCATTTGGACTGTCTTCGGCCCCCGCTTTGTTTCAGGCTGCCATGGACAAGATTTTGTCAGGTTTAAGCGGTACGGTAGCATACCTGGACGATGTCATCGTAGGAGGTTCTTCACGTCAAGAAGCGAACTCTCGTCTGGAACTGGTACTACAGCGTCTAAGTGACTATGGGGTCAAAGTTAATGAATCCAAATGTAATTTTTTACAGTCCCAGGTGGAGTATTTGGGTTACCGCCTGTCAGCGGAAGGAATTAGCCCGCAAGTGGGTATTCTTGATGCCATCCGGAATGCACCGGAGCCTACTAACAAAGATGAGCTGCGTGCCTACATAGGCCTAATAAATTATTATGGCCGTTTCATACCTAATCTGTCTGCCAAGTTGAGTTGCTTTTATGATTTGATTAAGAAAGATGTGTCCTGGAAATGGACTAAACAATGTTCTGATGTTTTTCAGTTGAGTAAAACTTGGGTATGTGATTCACACATACTGGTTCACTATGATGTTAATAAGCCGTTAGTGCTAACTTGTGACGCAAGCCCTAGAGGAGTTGGGGCTGTTTTGTCTCATATTATCGATGGTGAGGAAAGGCCTATTGCCTTTGCCTCCAAGTCTTTGAGTTCTAGTGAGAAAAATTATTCTCAATTACACCGAGAAGCTCTTGCATTGGTTTTTGGTGCAAAAAAGTTCCACAAATATATTTATGGCAGGATGAATGTTATTTTGCAGACAGACCATCAACCATTAACAGCCATATTTGGTTCTAAGAAAGGAATACCTAGTCTTGCCGCAGCACGGTTGCAACGATGGGCATTGATATTATCGACCTACAACTTTGAAGTTCGATATCGAAAAGGATCTGAGGTATCACATGCGGATGCATTGTCAAGATTACCCCTACCCATGGATGAATCCCTGGAATTGGAAGCTAACTGTGTCGCTCATGTGGAGGAATGCTTGGAGGTATTCAACTGCCAATTGGTGAGTGAAAATCCACTTACTTCTGTAGATGTAGCAAGATTTACTGGCAGAGATCCACTTTTATCTAGAGTCCGTGATTTTTTGTGGCATGGCTGGAGAGATGTTAAAGACCCTAAGTTGACTCCTTATTTAAAGAGGAAGGATGAGTTGTCCATTGAGGCTAATTGTGTATTATGGGGTTCTCGAGTTGTAATTCCTGATAAACTTAGAGACAATGTGCTTCGGTTGTTACATGACCAACATCCTGGTATTGTAAGAATGAAAATGCTCGCAAGAAGCTACGTTTGGTGGCCTGGCCTTGAACCAGCGATTGAGAGTATGGTTAGATCATGTCATATCTGTCAGAGTTCTCGGAACTCGTCTGTGAAGGTTCCATTGCAGCAGTGGCCTAAGTCCACAAGGAGGTGGCAGCGTGTACATATTGATTTTGCTGAGGAGCCTACTTCTAGACAACAAATGCTTGTACTAGTAGATACTTATTCTCGGTGGATCGAGGTATTTTTGATGAATTCTACTACCACTTCCAGTACAGTTTCCCGTCTTCGAACCCTGTTTGCTTCTTATGGGTTACCTGAAGAGCTAGTTTCTGATAACCAAGCTACCTATCCGGCTTTGCTGGTCTCGGTCAAGGAGGAGGTAATTAAAGGTAATACCTTTACTAGTTCAGAATTTAGAGAGTTTTTGGCTAAGAATGGAGTTAAATTTACGTTAACACCACCCTACCATCCTGCTTCCAATGGTTCTGCTGATCGCAGTGTTCAAATTGTCAAGAAAAATCTACTTCGACAAGTTTTGGGAGAGAGTGCCTCAGGTTCCATTACCTTACAGCACAAGTTGGACAATTTCTTGATTTCGTATCGTAACACCCCTTGCTCTGTAACGGGGCTCACACCAGCTGAGATGTTCCTGAATTGGAAGCCTAGGACGAAGTTAACCTTACTCAAGCCTAACTTGCAAGAGACGATACATCGACAGAAGAAGTATGCGGATAGGAGTAGAGGAAAGTTCCGAAGTTTTGAGGAAGGAGAATTGGTATTGGTTCGAACAGTAAGGAATGAGAAGGTATCTTGGGTGCCAGGGAAGATTTTACAAAAGCGTAGCCCAGTAACTTACATTGTGTCATCACTGGGGGGCACACGGGTTTGTCATGCTGACCATCTACGAACCCGGGAATATTCCCTTCAAGAAGAGGAGCCTACTGTTCCACCCATCCGGAGTTGCTACACTCCAGGAACACCCGCAAGGAGGAATGTAAATGAAAAACCAGCCTCTCCGGAGAAACAATCGCCGCAGAAGAAGTCCACGTCAGACGAACCACCAGTGGCAGAACTTCAGCCTCCCGTTGTGCAGTGCAGTCCGCCACAACTAAGACGTTCTGACAGGACTGTGAAGAAGCCTGCGCGGCTTGATTTGTAGGCCTTAGCAGAAATAAGGCGCAGAAGAATTTTTAGTTATGTTTTATGAAGTTATTGATTTTTGAGTTGCCAATAATTATTAGGCCAAGTTTTATTTAAAGTACTTTTGAGTTTGGCCTACCAAGTTTTTAATTTTTATCTGGTCAAGTGAAGAATCACCAATTTTTAGTTGTGGCGAGTGTGATATATTTTAAAGTTATATACACTAGCAGAAAGTAGTGCTATTTAGTTTGTGTGTGTGGCTGCACTGCCAACGCAATGACGTCACAGCTGATGTCTCTGAACCGGCCTCAGTTCTACGTTATCTACAGGTTAGTCGCAGTCACTTTTACTTTGTGCGGTTCTTTAACTTGTAGTTCATAGAACATAATAACAAAGAAAACCTCTATAGTTCATCTGAAACAAAACAGACTACCAGTGGTTAGGCCTACTGTTGATCATTTACTGCAAAATGATATACACCTTTCTAATGATGACAGTGACAATATCGATGACCCAGAACCTGTAGGTCATAAAGACGATAATAATAGACCTCATAATGAAATCGGGACACATAAGAAAAGAAAAGTGAAGAATAAAACTGTTATCAAACAGCCAGGCAGAAAAAGGGTCAGACATGAAGATGAGTGGAAATGCAATGTACGAAATCGAAATCGATCAAATGGCGAGGAATACAAAAATAAAAAAGGAAAGCTCATTCCAGCCAGAGAAATGAAACCCCCTTGTTCTTGCAGAATGAAGTGTTTTGAAGCGGTAACTGAAGAGGAAAGGAAAGAAATTTTCAAGTCCTACTGGAATGCAGCAACCAGTACGGATGTAAAAAGACAATTCATTAGTTCTTGTATTATTTGTGTACCTACTCTTACATCGAGGAAAAGAAATTTTGATACTGACAAAAAGAAAGAGAACACACTCTATTATCATTTCATGGTCAACAATAAAAAAATAAGAGTATGTAAAACTTTTTTTCTAAATACTTTAAGTATTTCAAATAAAGTAGTTATTAATGTAGAGAAAAATGTACAACAAGGAGGTGTTGTGAAACCAGATCAAAGAGGGAAAAAAACACCTCCTAATAAAACCCCAGAAGCTACTATTGAAAGCGTGATGCATCACATAGCTTCTTTTCCTCAATACGAAAGCCACTACAGCAGGGAAAAAAGCAAAAAGAATTACCTGGGGCCAGAACTAAATGTGGAGAGCAGCTTATTGCAGGGAAGTGGCTGTACCGAGATGTGTTTAACAAACGTTTCAACCTTACTTTTAAGGCTCCCGAAATTGATACATGTGACACATGTGATTTGTTTCAAGCTCAGCTTAAAGGCGATCTACCTGCAGCAGACAGAGTTCGCATTACATCAGAATACGATGCTCACTTTGCTGATTCTGAAAACAGATACACGTTAAAAAGTGATGACTCAAAAACTGCGAAAGAAACCCCTAATCACAGAGTTTTAACTGGGGACTTGCAAAAATGTTTACCAACACCTATGATAACAAGTGGCTTAAGTTTCTATAAGAGAAAGCTTTGGACCTTGAACTTTACATTGTATGATTCATCAGTTCATTGTGTAATGTGGGATGAGACAAAAGGCGCACGGGGCGGCAATGAAATTGCTTCCGCCCTACTGAAGTGGTCTTTTTTAGTAGAATACAATGCCGCAAACCGCACTTTAAAAGGTTGATCCTGCTCAAAATGGCGGCCGTTCAAAGATTTCTTGAATCCGCCATTTTGAATCTTTGGACGACTGCCATTTTTTACTCAGGCGTTCTTTTGAGCTTGTATTTACGGCATTGTAATCTACTAGTGAAGACCTTTAATTTGATGTGCATATCGACCTATGCTTACGTTAAAAATTTTCTTCCGAATCCTAGGGCTGTGCCCCCTGAGGAGTAAGCGTATAATAGCAATGCAAATTAAATTAATCTTTGAACAACTGTCATTATTGACTCGGTTGTCCTTTTGAGTTCAAATTTGCGCATTATATTCTGCTAGTAAAGAACTTTAATTTGATGTACATGTCAACCTATGTTTCTATCTAAGATTTCCTTCTGACTCCTTGCGGGACGTCCCCATGATATGACAGAAAATTGATAGTTACTTAAAAAAGTAGATTTTTAGGTGGGGTGTTGATGTACCAAATCTTGTTGGTTTATCTGTTTTCGTTTAGAAAATATTAAACCGGTCCGGGACTTTTGGGACAGTCTGTATATTTATTTTATCGGCTACATTGCTCTTACTCCTAATTATTCGTAGGAAACGACATTATGGTACCGATACGATCGGCAACACTGGCCAAAAATCTTCGTGTTTGGCTCCCATTGGACGGCGCACGAGGCTTCTGATTGGGAGTTAGCGAGTTCCGCCGAGGGAAAGAGTTAGCGACTTCTGTACGAGGACGGAATTCGCTAACCCGGCTATAGAGCGGGTTAGCGGGTTCCGGAGTTAGCCAATTCCAAAACTGAACAAGTTAGAGAGTTCCTCTCATCGACCAGATTTGAAGTTAGGGCGTTTAACATGGGGTTAGCGAGTTCTAGAGTTAGCCAACTCCGCGGACCCCTATAATGTTAACCGGATGTCTGTAGAAGAGTTTTTAAACTTCAAAACCTACACCAATAAAGTGTTTAAAAACAAAAAATCGCCGAAGACTTCAGTACCTTAAACTGGACAGAAGATAGCTGTATTAAGTTTTTAAAAATTAAAGAAAACTCTTTGTTTTTCAAAACTGAATATTGGGATAATTACAAAGAGCTGAACGTCACAAGAGTCCCAGAAGATGCAAGCAGTTCTAGAACTAAGTCACCCAGACTTTCCAAGTCAATGCTAGAAGATCCTTCTGCAATTGCGCCTGTGCCTAAGCAAGCGTATAAGAACCGGATTCCTATAACTTCAGCCAAGTACAAAGATTTGCCGGATCTTTGTGTGACTAAAGTTATTCCTGAAGAGTACCATGATTGTTTCTCATCTGTGACTCATGCCACTAACAGATGTACGGCAAAAGATGACAACGAAGGTGAGGCAGATTTGGAATTGACTATAATGAGAAGTGCCGCTAAAAAAAGAAAAGGCCAGCAAAATGCAATAAATAACCAACAGTATTTTTCAAAAAAATTTCTAACTAGTCAAAGTTAATTAATAACCATTCAAGGTTATATTTATTCAAAATGTGTAATTAATCTGAATAAATTAGTTAACAACCTGAAATCTGGTGTTTTGTTGTGTACGCCCCAATTTTTTCGGTCTAATTCTTTTAATTCCAGAAGGGCGTATGAACTATAAACTATAAAAAAAAATAATTTGTGAGCAGGGAAACGAAGCAAAGTTAATAAGATACATATAAATAAATAAAAAAGCAATAATAATTTTGAAAAAAAAAATAGTATTGAAGCAGGCAGAAGCTAAAGATTTGGAAAAACTTCAACGCCTTCTCCTGAAATATTGGGTTTTGGTTCATACGCCCTTCTGGCATGAGACCCTCGATATATGCATACTGTTTTTGCTACAAGAGCATCAAGACAACCTATGTTGATAAGATCTCTTGACCTATTTTCTTCAATGCAGTCATTAGTATGATTTCATTACTAATAAAGGGTATAAAGGGGAAGGGGTGTGATTAAGGGTAAGGGGGATAAGGGCGTGATATTTTAATTGTTACATAAGTTTCCAATCAAACAAAAGGTTAAATGTTTTTGTAAAACGTAAAACAATATTCTAGTTGTAATACAGGTTTAATGAATTAAGAACATAACACAAATTATTAACATAAGATTACTAAATGCAATTCTTTACGTTGATTAATACTTCTAAGAAAGCAGATTTTAGATAATTACGAATAACCCCACCCCCCCTTCATGTTAGTTTGAAAAGAGCACCACAACTACAAGATCAAAAGAAGGGATCCTAATGGCAGCCAATATTAACAATTTTACCATTGATTCTCCACAACATTTGACGGGCTACCATTTTGGATAGAGAAGAGATAGTTACCTCTAGTTTTCACCATTCTTTAAGTTTGTGTAAACACTTCAAAATGAGGTGTCACTTGAAGGGGGTTTACATTTAAAATATTTGAGTTGCCCCCCAACTTTTGGGGGGACACTCAAAAATTTCAAAATGATAAAATGAAACTTCCTGCTAAGATTGCTCGACCACCAAAAGGATATCTCTGTATATTTACTTGAAAAAATATTAGAGGGGGGGGGGTCTTGACGTTTTATTCACTCAGTATTCATTTACTGTAGTTGAAAGACTAACGTTATTTTCTAGGTAATGGGTGTCAAATCTATACCGTACACCGTACACTTTATAGACGTGTATACTACACTGGCTTTAGAGCACACAGTCAAAAGTACATGATATTCTGACGCAATGCTATTGTTACACACTTGATGAATACACCCACCATTGTTTTACAAAGCATACACAATGAAGGTACATGTCGAGAGTGAGTAATGTGGTTTGAAGCGTGTAAATAATCAGCTGCTCGGCTGAATAGCACGCAGCGCAATCAAACAATAGAGGCGGGGATTGTTTGATCAGCTCTCGCTCAAGCTTCATATTGAAGATCTGCATTTCCATACATCTTATCAAGTAACGTTTTTAGTTCAAGCTTATGTGATTGTATGCACATCTGTAAACACGGACCGTTTTTGCTCCGTCGATGTTGGTTTTTTTATATTTGATCCTCAAACGAAAATAATAACAGTTTCTGATTTATAGTTAACAAAGATACTTAATAAATATTGATATCCTTAAGGATCACAAATTATTCATGTTAACAACCAAAAAGTGGACTATCATGTTTAAATATGCTAATCCCCTCAAAGTTAAAGTTTTAGCAGTCCAACTAAAATATCACACAACTCGTGTCGATACAAAAAATTGTTTTTAAGTTTTTAATACAGCCAGGCTAAAAAAAATCGACTGCTCTGGATGAAATCTCACCGTACACAATTTCTAAGATCAAAACCTACAAATGCCTAATTTGATACTACCAGTGC